AAATTTCTAGGAATTTCACTGATACTTCAAGGAAAAGAGTTTGCATTTTCCCAGCTTTAGAACATTGACTTTTCAGAATGAGGAAAGGAATTTGCAAGAATATGCCTACTGTTCAAAGTGGTCTTTTCATAATAAAAACAATACGCAATCCCAGGCCAATTGATGCTGGTTGTACCTGCCACAAACCACCTCCCATGAGATCCAGACATGACACCAGAGCTTTATTCCTTCTCCTGCTGCCATGCTGTCTTTACTTCTCTCAGTCACCTTCCCATATTCTGCAAAGATGCCCCATCTTAATCACATCCTTAAGTTTGGACAGATTGCAACTCGTAGCACAGAAGTTTAATAATGAAGCCTCTCTAAGAGAAAGAATATAGAGGACACTAGCAGGATCTTCCCAACATCGTGGCTGAAATTCACTCTGCTCATCAGTGTGTTCATACCTGTGACCTCTGGGTGCTTCAGCAGGAGCAGGAGTCCATATCTCAGGGTGGTGCTTGTGGTCTCTGTGCCAGCTCCAAACAAATCAAGGGCAGTAATGACCATGTGTTCAAAGGTAAACTCCAACTGCTGTTTGTGCTTTTCCTAGGAACATTTTGATGCATTTATTTGACAAATTATTTGTCAGCATATTTAACTGCAGTGAATTCAGAATAACTCACATTGTTATAAAATTAGCCAACACAGAATCTAGACATAGATTCTATATAATCTAGAATCTATTATAACAAAACACTGTATTATGTGGCAGAGACTGTAGATCAGTTCACCCAAACTTATTCACTGTCCCCTTACTCCTTGCTTGCCTAAAATTTCCATTCATGAGGGTCTTTACAGCTAGATGAGCCAGGCAGCATATTTCCTTCCCAAAAAAGATGTAAGCAGAAGCTTATTGGTGCCCCTTCTTCAATTTCCTCCATCTCACTCAAAACACATATGTAAAGGAGTAGGTAGGGTAGATATCACCTTGGGACATAAAGATTTAACCATGAAAATGAAGGCCTATATACTAAATATGGTGAAGAAAAATTGGAGGCACTTGACTCTTTGATGCTTCAAAGGTACTGTATTAGCTCTGGAGTAGCCCATCATGGGAATCTTTATATTTGTGTTAAATAATCCCACTCTTTGTTCATGTCATTATTAAGTTGAATTTATCCTATTTGTAAACAAACACAATATTAATTTATATAAGTATGTAAATTAGGACCACATCATGAAAGATGTTATAAGCCTGAATCAAAAGTTTGCAGTTCTTGACCTGGCATTCAGCCAGAAGCCACCACCTGTTCTATCCCACCACCTGGAGCAGGAGCCAGCTGAGGGAGGAACACACACAACCCAGCAACCAGTTGTAAGCAGTCACCAGCCCCCTCCGACTGCCCCAAGCAGGAGCCAGCAAAAGTAGGAACTCGCATGACCCTGCACCCAGCCAGAAGCCACTGCACACTCCCTCCAGCCACCCAGAGCAGGAGCCAGAAGAGGTGGTCTACCACCACCACTGCCATAGCTACTGCCCTCATAAGGAGGGCCCACTGCCACCGTAACAGCCTGGACCACCCTGCAGGCAGCCGGCCACACACATTTTTCAAAAGAAGACATGCAAATGGCCATAAGGTAGTTGAAAAAATGCTCGACATCATTAATCCTCAGGGAAATACAAATCAAAACCACATTGAGATATCATCTCACCCCAGTTATACTGAGCATTATCAATAAGACCAAGAATAAGAAATGCTGGAGAGGATGTTGAGAAAAGGTGACTCGTCTACTGTGCTGATGGGACTGTAAAATAGTAAATCCATTATAGAAAGCAGTGTGGAGATTCCTCAAACAACTGCATATGGAACTGAAAAATGGTCCAGGAATCCCTCTTCTGGGTACATACCCAAAAGTATGGAAATCATCATGTTGAAGGGATACCTGCACTCCCATGTTCAATGCAGCTCTATTTACAATAGCCAAAATATAGAACCAACATAAATGTCCATTGACAGATGACTAGATAAGGAAATTGTAGTGTATATAAACAATGAAATACTACTCAGATATAAAAAAGAATGAAATTCTGCTATCTGCAGCAACATGTATGAGTTTGGAGAGCATTATGTTAAGTGAAATAAGTCAGACACAGAAAGAGAAATACCACATTTCCTAACTCATAAGTGGGTGCTAAGAAAGAAGGAAAGAAGAAAGAAACGAACAAACAAAAAAAGGAAGGAAGGAGAAAAAGACCACAACAATACATTAATCTTTCAGAAGTAGAGATCAAATCAATGGTTATAAGGGGATGGTGGGGCGGGGGAGGGAGAAGGGGATGGAGAGAGATTGGATAAATGGTATAAAGAATAAACACTATGATTTGTAATAATGAATATGCTAATAATATTGATTTGGTTAAAATATGTTGTACACTAGTGATGGTAGTCAATGTTGTACCCTGAAAATACATATGATCAATTATGCTTCAATAAAAAAGAAAAAAAGAAATTAGAATTTTAGGCTTCTAGAAATCAGCTAATGATTATACAGTATTTAATGAGCCCCAACCTTGTATCCAGAGTTCTATCAGATATTATGAATATGAAAGGTGATCGTGGGCTCCAAAGACAAAACCATTTTATTGCAGATTTAAAGTTTACATTGACGGGCCGGCCCGGTGGCGCACTGGATAGTGCGCCGCTTGGGGAGCGCGGCAGCGCCCC